GAAATTGGTGGCACTGCTAGAAAACATCTTGAATTGCATCACTACTACTTAAGCCTGGCTGACAACAGAATCTTCACTGAGCAAGATGTCTTAACTTTAAAGAAATTACAGTGTTTAACAACCACAGACAGCCTGCCCAGATCACTTAAGTGAAGTGCCAGTGAAGAACAGTGACAGAGAAAGGTGTTTGAGTACCTAGCAATCCAGTCAGTTTATATTTTCCATTTATTTGCAGAAACAAATAGAACGCTAATGCAAAGAGGTCAAAGCCTAGGCAATTTTTTCTCCTTTCTCTCTTTGTGACCAAAGAAAGAAGAAAGCAAGTTTTGTTGTAAAAAACCCTTCAACTTTCCTAGTAGAAAAAGTAACCACTAGAAACTTTTCCAACTTATTGAGTACCATACTTGGAAGTCTTTATTCTGTGTTGCTGACCAATCTTGTATTCATAATAGAGGGCTCCTCAGGTGATGATCCTCAATATTCAGTACGTCAAGAAAAATACCATAGGACCAGAAGGAATTTTTGGATCATCTAAATTTATCAAGATCTCTCCAATCTAGTTGAGGCTTAAGGTCCTTCCTATAAAGTCTTTCTTTTCCTTTTCTCCTTTTCATTGAGTTAAAGAAATTACATGAACTGCCATCCTGCCATGTTCACATATTTGAAGCACTGTCTGTATATAGGATACCCAGTGGGACTGACTTTTGAAGAAAATGTGCCAATCCTTCTTGCTGAACATGGTCTTCTGTCTTGGTTCTAGAATTCAGGCTAAGGCCCTGTAGTGGTCAGTATGTTCATTGATCCTTCACCAAGATCCATTTTATATAGCACTGACAAAAAATACCAAACTTCATGTAAAAACAACTACATTTTTTCTGCCTTAAACCTCTCTCATTTGATCAGTGATGTTCTGCATATTGGTTTCACACATAAGCAAACCTTTTTCCAAAATCTCTCATTTATGGAAATGAAAGTCAAAAAATTCATTGAAATTTTGCCAATCCCTTTAATAGTCTTATATCACAAACACTTCTCTCTAAAATTGTCACCAAGGCAAATCACTTAGAGAAAGAAATAATTTTTAAAGTGTCTTAATACATGGGCAAGTTTTTTGGGGGGTTTTTTGGGTTTTTTTTTTAAGAAAAATATAACCAAACAAAGAAAACTTTAAAAATCTGGGTATTTAGATGGATAGACAAGTAATATTTTTGGTTGGTGTAATACATAGTAAGTAACGTGTCATTTTGGTTCAGCCAATGAAGTAGAAAATTTGAAATCTGTTGAGAAATATGAGATGAAGCTACGTAAATCAACAGTGAAAGAAAAACATTTTATATTTTGCTATTAAGATAACACAATACTTGAATCCAAAACCCTGTTATTGAATTTGCTATTGAAATCTCCATATTAATTAACCTTCAGTTATTGCTGGTCCTTCAGTACATTATGAAAAAACAGGATAATCTTGTTTTTGTCTTATTCAATTTGCAATAATGAATATTTACACAGAGGGCAATAATTTATGTTTTTCTTGTCCTCTCCTAATTTGTATTTGCATTTAGAGCTCATGTCATTGTAGGATATTCTGCACAAGGTAAGATATTTTCAGACTGTTACTCAGAAGCATATTAATTATGAACATCTATGTTTTTATAAAATTGATGGCTTTGTGATAAACACTTAGTTTTTCCTGAAAATGCACCTCCTTTAAGGTCACCAAGTTAATTTCAAATCTTTAGAAATAGAAAGGATACAGCATGCTTTTGAGAAGCAGTAGTAAAACCTGTGTGTATGCAAAGGACATGATTTAGAGATCTTTGTGAAAGGGTCATAAAAAGTGTTCGTAGCCTATGGTTTGGAGATGTATCAGCATTTCCTATCCAGCATTTGTATAAGCAGTAACATACAGGGAAATCAGCAGCAAAAGGATGGAATGATTTATGATATGCTGATGATACAGGTACTGCAGTGACTGAGAAACAGCTGAGATTGGACTGGAGCTAGATTTGTAATGCAGAACATTGGTGTGACTCCAGAATGTGAAACCAGGCAAGTCTCTGGAGGAGGCAGCAGGGATTTAAAAGATCCTCCTCTTGAGTCTGTTACAGGCTGGTTTACAAGCTTTTGATTTTAGCAGTTAGACAGAAGCCTAAGGAATTGTTCTTGACTGATCTTGAGTGTTGTGGTAAAAGAATAATTGTTTTTTTATTCCTTTAAGACTACACTAGTGAAATGAAGCACACATGAAAAGTTTAACTTAGGTCTAGGCAGAATCTTACATTGATTTTCTTGTGACTTTCCACATTTTTAAAGATTATGAAAGAAACTAACAAAACTAGCAAACAAACAAAATGTTTTAAAAGGCCTGAGCCTCATTAAGAACAGATATGTCTGCTCATATTCTACTTAGAGTCTGAAATGCATGCTGTAGCATGCCAGGAACAATATCTTTAGAATCTGCAGTAGATAATTGCTGATTCTGACCTCTAAATAGAGCATACACCTGTTAAAGGTTATCTCACATGCTGAGATACACTGTGCCTCCCAGTGCATTCATTCCCAAGATTTTTTCCAATGAATACGGGAACACAGTGTGTGATAATTGGTAGAGGCGGGTAGAGGATGGAAAAGGGAACACAAAAATATGAACATCATTAATTAGTTCACTTCTAACTAGCATGTTTCCATTGAAGACATAGCTGAGGTCTTGATTTTTACCTTCCACAAACTAAACTAAAAAAGAGTGAATATTCAACAGTGTTTCTCATTTGTGCTGATATAGAAACCCATGTATTTGGAGGATCACTGAGCACTGTAGGACGGTTTTAAGAGAAATATTTGCCAAAGCTACACTACTGCAGAATTCCAAAATCCCTTTGATCGGATGCTTGAAGTGGGACAGCCACTTAATACCAACGTGTATCTAATAGCAGGTGTATGTATCTGCCAGCTCTCCCTGGAGCTTGTAGCCCAAACTTCTTACATCACCCTATCCTCACAACTGACTTGCCTGGAAATACCTGCCACGAGTTCAGGTGAATTAGGTTATTTCAATACATTCAGTATAAATCCTTAATTTCTGATTCTTCTGAGGTGTGCATATGTTTAGCACACATATCTGGTGTTTTCTGTATTTTAAACAGTTATATGCTCTCACTTTTTTTTTGCTGAATACCTCAACTAAAGAATTAATCTGAAGCCACAGAGCCATATTCCTTTGTTCTTAACTTTCCAATAACCAAAAGAAAAACAGATGTCAGGTTATAAAAGGTTATTTGGTTTATTCTCTTTTCCTTAGCCTTTTTTAAAAATATTTTGTATGTTAAATTAGATAAATATTATATTTCCAAGAAAAATAATTATTGGGTTAAATTAAAAGCAGTGATTTAAAGTGGAGAAAAGCAGACTACATTTTTCTAATTATTTTTCTCTACATTTGTATTCTACAGCCAAAAAGAAAATATTAAAGTAAAATGTGCACCTCCCCACATCAATATACAACCTACCCATTTTCTATGCATATAAGGAGATGTCATAGTCTTATAACACAACCTTATTTAAGACTTTTAAGTAAGGTGTCTGTATTTCCAGTAGTTGCCAAAAGTTAAAATGTAACAAAGTTTTAGGAAAGCCATTAAAAAAATTAGGAAAATCTCCATATATGTGCCCATATGTTGAGTACTGGATGCAGTTCTGCTCCTTGATTCTCAGTAAGAATATTCTAAATCTGAAAATGAAAGAGGAAAGAAGATAAAAGATAAACTATGACAATTATTGAGGAATGATATCACTTACAATGAATGACAAGGCAAAGATTTACTCTGATTAAGTAAATACTGCTTTTGTAACTTTTTTCCATCAATTTACTAATTTCTCTAGTTTGCTACTTTTGCATGTCTAGGAATTTTATTTTAAAAGGCTGATGATTATATATCGAACATTATATTTACTGCTTGATTGCTCCATACTCACCTATTTGCCAATGGAAAAATTAATGAAATATATAGTCCAGAAAAATTGGTTTTGAAAGGAAAATGTATAATGCAAACCCTAATCCATAATTTTATTTATATTAGGGCACTGAGACATTATGATAATGTACACTGATATCTGGCTAGACTTTCAGTCAAATTCTAAATCCACAAACAGTTGCATTTATTTATCTTCATATTTTCTGGAAGCCACCAAGGACTTTCTGTGGTCTTTGAGGGAAGATTTCACAAAATGTTAAATGTCCATAATGTTAGGTTTTCACATAAAATTGTCCCAGCCTAAATGCTAGGCTCAGACTTTAGAATGGGGTGATCATCTGATCTTCTCAGACTGCTAGATATTATGAAATATTTGAGAAAATTTTATTCTTCAGTGAAACAAGGAGATCTCTTTCTTTCTTTTCCCATATATTTATGGCACAGACATACCACATAATCAAGAGTTTGATGAGTTTCCAGGGATCTAATAAAATATAATACAATTATATTACAATCAAAACACCTGAATAAAATAAAACATTTAAATATTACCCACAAAACTATTTTCTGTGTCTATAGTGAAAAATGATCTTAGAATTTCAGGGAGATTTGATTAGTTGTGTTTTGGATTGTTTTTAAAAAGTTTTGTTCACCTGTCACTCTTCAAATTCATGTGACTGTTCATCTGTTTTGCACAATGAAGCATATAATTAGCACTAAAATTGAATTTACAATTGCTTTTCAGAATTCTTCTGTTCAATACAATGTGGGTAAGGACAAAGGAAAAAAAATATCTATGAAGTAAAAATGGAGCAGAAATATTCATAAGGAAAGCACATACAACTTTGCTAAGCTGGCTAAAACAACTGGAAGAATTAAGCTGTTTGAAAGACATGAGAGAATGTAATGAAGAAATATGCCATCATATTTTTTGTTCTGTTTCTGTTTTCTTACCTGCTCTTTCATCCTTGCCTCAGGAGATAAAATTTTCTTCAGAACTGTTGCCCTCCTCACATGCCTTGATCCTTTCTCTTACCACAGCATTACTTCTACAACCAACGCCTGTTTCCCAGTGCAATGCAGAGAAGCTAAGAAATTAAAGAAACAAACACTTATGGTTTGCATACATCCTTTTTTTTCCAGAATTGACCTATTTGTAAGACATTTAGAAGGACTTTTAACTCATATTCTGAGTCCTACCCTGGGTCTCCTGTTGCCCAAACACACTTATAGCTGTCTTTGGGATTTATCATTTTTAATGTGCTCATTCTTGATGACCCATTAAGTGTTGACTTTTATTGTCATGCCTTAATCCCTAGTTTATACATGTTGGCAACAAGAGCAGTTTTGATTAGGAAATTCAAAATTGTATTATTTCCTAAAAGGTGAAACCTCCTGCTGGGTTCTCTGCAACATCTTATTTAATTTTTCACTTGTTGGACATTAAAGTAAACATTATGGTATAAATAATAGTGTTTTAATATCACAAAAGATCTGTAACAGTAGTTTATCAACTGCTTATATAAGAAATCTGAATTGTAATCTAAACATAGAAAAATCTCCCCCTTTCATGAATAATATAAATACATTTTCAGTCAAGGCTGTCTATCAGTAAAATACTTTTAAATACTTGTACACTACTTTTTGTTTCAGTACATTCTTGAAAAAATGTTATAGGATCAAAAAGAACACATAGTATGTTATTATTAATAATGATAATTTATTTTAATAATTTTAGTTTATTTTAATAATGAGGATTTATTTTTTAAATTTATTCTAAGAAGCATTGTCATGCTCTGTCAATTTTATTCCTGTCTCCATAAAATCTTCCCTTGTCTAAACATTTATAGTACCATGAGAAAAGTAATTTTTATTGTTTTTTTCTGTATGCCTTTAAAAAAGCAGGTTTTATTAGAGGTTGATGGGCCTTTTTTTTTCCTTTATCATCTTTTAAAACTATGTATTTTTTGATTTGCCTTTTTTTCTTAGCATCATCTTTAGAATGGATGTAGGATTTTTTTCTGCAGTACAGCATCTTGGTAAACAGGAAGTTACACAGTTTTCACGTTAGGCCATTTGGTATAAGGGAACTTAATTTACTTTATTTTCTTTATTTAATAAAGGTGACCCTCTGTCCAGTTGTCCAGCCAGCCAGCTCCACTGTCCCCTGAGACTTTCTTTTGTGCTATGGATTGACATTTCTACAGTTTATAATCTTTGCATCTGAAAGAAATCCTTCAAACATCATTCAGTCACCATGCTGTGCCAGTGACAAGACTGATAGATTGGTAAGTAAATTTTGTGGTTTCCAGTTATCTGAAAGGCACAGTGCCTAGTTCTAGATCAAATCACCACACCTCAGTGCTGGCACAGTTAGTAACTGCACTGCCAATTGCTGCAGGAGCTGAATTGTGCTGTGCTGAGACTGCTGGAGAAACTTGAGTACTCTTGAATCTTACTTTCTCTTACTTTTTCTCTTATTTTGTAAGTTGAAACACCATGGGACTTCCATTACAATGTAATAAATATGCCACAATCTCAGTTTAATTATAGACATAAAATATGCATGGGCTACTTTGGAGGAAAAGCTATTAGTCTATTTCCCAGTATACCCTATTTTCAATGCTTTTCCAGTGTTCTCAAAATAAAAAGTTATAAACTCTGAAATGTATATCTTTGCAAATAGAGATGAATATAAATCTTATATCTGAGTGCATGATATTCCAGCCCATTACTCAAGACTTCTCCTTGAGCCCATTAACTGGGTGGAGGAACAGCTGCTTTCCAAGACATCATCTTCAGAAGAATCACAGCTTGAGGCAGAGGTCACAGAATTTTCACATATTTTGCCTAACAGGTAGGTGAAGAGTGCTTGGATATGTTTGCACATTGGCTTCCTATCCTGATATTGTAAACCTCCCTTTCAGTCATCTGCTGTTACTGAAACATGAATAATCAATGACTAATGTGGAAAGAAGGTCTTATAGAAACTGAATCATCCTAGTGAAGTAGAAACAGCCAATCATGTGAGCAGAATGGTGAGCATCTCTTACTATTCAGCTAAAACACATCCCATAAAACAAGGCACTTGTAAATGAAACATTATTTCTGACCAGCAGAGGCAGATAATTTCTCTAACACATACACATTAACTGACAATTCTGTTGCTGTATCAAGTAGCACAGCAAATTCAAACTCAGCCAGCAGCTACAGTATGGCCATATATTGATAAAACTACCCAACTCATAGCTTATCCAATCTAATATCTCATTTCTAGAGGTCAGTACTAAAAGCTTTATAGGAAGACATAACCACTGATGCATGAACATATGCCCCCACATTGCATTTCCTTCTAAATCTAATAAACTTGGATATAAACCTTTAGGCATAAGAGCTGATATTTTTTAAATGTTCTACTTTTGAATTTTGCATCTCAGTGTAATGTAGTCATCGATTGAGTGTGCCCTTTGGGAGACTAGGTAAGGATCTTATCAATCACAAACTCCTTGGCAAATCTGTACTGTGAAAAATAAAACAAGCAAACAAAACTGTAATGCCTGTGTTTTGGATTGTTTTCCTTCTATTCTCATAGTTCTGTTTAACTCAAATGTCTTAGAAAAGATAGATATGTAAGAAATTACCATAATGAACTTTCTTTTCCTAAGACTGCTCAATGCATTTTCTTTTTGTCCCCACCTATGAAACAGAAAATTATTTTTTTGAAAGCAAGCATTAATTCTAATTCCAATGTTGTCATTGAAGTACATTGTCACTAACACTGCAATGAATATGCAACAATATCATATCTTCATAACTATTAAATTGAAACTCATTTTGCTAAAGACTCAATAATATAATCTATAAAACCTACAGTTACAGCATATAAATTCAGATGTTTTTTCTCAGTTACTAAAGATCTCTGAATATATTTCCATACCCATTCAAATATAGTGCATATAGAGTATTTTTGTTTGAATTAAAGGCTATCTGAAATTCATTAACCTTTCTTGCAGAACTTTTTGCAGAATATTTTTTAATATGCTTAGGAATGTGGGTATTGGCCTCATCAAACCTATAGTCAGCCCCAAATAACTGATATTTTTTGAGAAATATCTCCATTAAAGTATATTAATTGCAAAGATATGAATATAGTTTGGTTTTAATCTACACTGGCAGGGGGAGAAGAGTGATTCCCCATAAGAAGAGAATGGACTGAGTTTTGAAGACAAAATATTTAATAGAGCTAGAGATTGGAAGATTTTCAAGACAAATCTGGCAAGAAAGCCCAACAAGATTCTCTAAGAAATAAAAGAGGTCATGTTCAAAGCCTGAACCCCAGGGTTAACACCCTGTAAATAAAGAATCTTTGCCACAGGAGAAGATTAAAGTCTGTGAGTGAAATACATATGCCAGGTCAAGTGTAAAGATGACCAAACTGTTGAGTTTCAAGTGGATCAGGAAACTGAAATACAAGGTGTTCAAAGAGTGTTATAATTGCTGCTTTTTAGGTAAAAACAGTAGAACAGAACATTAACTACTGATATTACTATGAAAGCAAAGTCTGTGTATTGGACAAAGTCTGAAGTGATGGATAAATAAATATTGGTTTCTTGATCACTGATGTCTAGGAATTAAAATTAATCTTGATCCTCCCAATAAACTGTCCCCAAAAGAATAAATTCTCAAGCTTTGTCTTCACTTGTAAAATGTCCCAAGTGCTAACAAAGTCTGTAACACATAATTTAATATGTTTTAAGAGCATATGAAACAGAAAATGAAATGCGGCAGGTATACCTTTTTCAAAGGGCTTGACCCCATTGCAATTACAGTAAATCAAGAGGAATGCTTTTCAGATTATCAGCTGAATTGGTTTTAAGCAACATGAGATCAGAATCATCTCTCTTATTAAAAGAGAAACCTTTTTTACACTACACAGTACTGGAACAAATTCAGCAATTACCACACCTTAGTGCTGCAAGAAAGAGAGAGGTAAATTAGACACTGGTTAAAATAGAATATCACAGAAGACATGAAAATATATCCTGAAGCAGGTAGAAGGAAAAAAATAAGAAATTGATAAAGCAACACAAAAGATAGATTATAAGGAAAAAGAAATCTCAATAGAGACATATGAAAGAAAATATTGAAAGAGGGGAGTGAATTTCCTCTCTTGGATGGATGCAATATAAAATAAATATCAAATTGGCATAAGGTCAGATCTAAGCATCAAAGCAGGTGTTCATTATCCACCCATAGACTCTGAAAATTTATCATCAAGGGCATCTGCTGCAGGCTCTCCCTTCTAGAACTGGTCTGTGATCAAGTGGTTTGCTAGCTCCAAGAGCATGGCAGAGCCTTTCATCTCCATCTCATGTCATGCTGCTTCTTGTCTTTGCATCAAAGGGTGTCATGCCCAAACATTCAACTTCTCACATCTTTCTAATACCAGGAAAGTCCCTGATAAAATAAAATAATAGATAAAAATAATGCTAAAGTCTTTCTTATGACAGTATTACCTGGGGTAATGGTGTACTAGGAAAAAAAAGAGCCTCTACTGGCATGACTAGAAAGAGGAGAATGCCTGGGGAGAAGAGTCTCAGAAATTATATGGAGAGCAGCACTAGAAAATCTGCAGTCTTCAGAGAGGAGAGGCAGAGTGAAGGGAAAAGGAAAGCTATTCTCATTCTGAATTTTAGAAAATTACTCCATTTTCTGCATGTGAGAATTCTGCAGTTATTGATTCATTGACTATACATGCAGAACTCAAAATATAAAAAGTGCTGAGCTTATGAAATGGAAACAGAGAAAAAGCTAATGATCCCATAGCTGGGGAAGGGTGAATGAGGAAAAACATTCAGCAGAGTCACAGGGTAAAGTTCAAAGACAAGAGGATCAAAATTGTAGGAAAGAAATATTTTGTCAGTGATATCATTCTTGAGTCATAGAATAAGGATTAAATAAATAAGTAAAAGCATATATGTGGAGAGAAAACAATAGAATATGATGTAGAGCAGACACAAAAGGATAAACAGGAAAATGAAAATTAAATCAACCAACAGATACAGATAAAGCTCAAATTCTAAAGAAC